GTAAAATTCTGTCTGCCCCGATAAATTCTGGGCCCTGATAAAAATTGGGTCTGTGCAAGTAAAAATTTCTTGCTGTGCAAGTAAAAATTTTTGTGTCTGTGAGAGTAAAAATTCTCGGCACTCAGTAACAATTCTGTCTGTCCCTGAGTAAAAATTCTCTGGCACTCGAAAAACATTTTGTCTGCCCCTAGTAACAATTCTCGGGCACCATAACAATTCTGCGTCCCTAGTAAAAATTTCGTCGTCCCTGAGAATAAATTTTCTGTGCCCTGAGTAAGAATTCCGGGCCCTTCAGAAAAAATTCTGTCTGCCCCTATAACAATTCTCGGGCCCTCAGTAACAATTCTGTCTGTCCCGGGTAAAAATTCGTGGCCCTAAAAACGTTTCTGTGGCCCTAAGTAACAATTCTTGGCACGAGTAAAAATTCTGTCGTCCCGGTTTAAATTCTGGGCCCTAACTAGCGTTTTTTTTGCCCCCTAAATAACGATTCTGGGCCCTCATCCTAGTACAGAGCGGTCTGCCTTCTGTCAATGACTGCAGGCAAATGAAGATTTCCAAAATGGCCGCTGATACTATACCTGCGACCAATTACATACCAGTGGTGGTGGCTGGCTGGCTGGCTGCTGAATGGCTGATGCGATCACAATGTCGTTTTGAGGTAATGCAATTATGGTGCCAGCGCGCCTTGTCTGCGCAGCCTTCCTCCCCGACAAAACTCCCCGCTCCGTCCGCCGCACTATGTCAGCCGCCCATTTTTCCGGAAAAATTATCGATACGCACAGCGTACCCGAATTCTGCTGTTTTTCGGATTCTCGGCACGAATGCGAATTTTTTCCGAAATTCGACCTCGAAAGTCCACTTCGTATCACTTCTATTCGCACAATTTCATCTTCTAGTTATAACCTTCAGAATTGTTGCCCTCTATAGTCAAATATAATTACAAAAGGATCCAACAAAGCCACATGCCTAGTCACAAGAACACACAAGGGAAGGTTTGTGCCAGTAAGGAAGATAGTTAAACTGCTATTTCTATTTTTTGGGAATACCAGAGCAACCCTACAAAACCCATAAAAACACAAAAAGGACATACAAACTCAGTGTAGACAGCTAAAGATAGATAGTGCACTTACCTATAGCAAACTTTAGATTTCACATTATTTTGGTCAAATAATAAAAAAGATGAATTGTTGTTTTTAATTCGATCAAAAGGGCTCTAAAGCCCTTCATATATTAGTGGGAGTTTTAGACCTCAATCTAACATGAGGTTCTGAAGATACAAAATGTAGTGATGCTCTACTGCTCTGTATCAGACATAATTCTGGTGACTACAAGATGCTTGGATGGAAAAATTAAATTGGAATTAAAAAAAGGAATTTGATGTGAAACTTGTTTTTAAGCGCACGTTAGTTATAAACTTTGAAAATGCTAACCTAATGTTTTGACTACGCTGTTTATATCCCTAAGATAAAGGCTGACAGAGGCTAATGACATTAAAGAGAAGGCTGGGAACAGGGGTGAGTTTCAAGTCCTTTTTGGCATTGGGCAGTTCTTTTTTTTTTATTAACTGTTTATTTAGAAATGTTATCAGTTTAAAAAATTAACAGTATGTAAGATCAAACCGCGCAAATCCCCAATCAACTGAAGTCACAAAGCTGCAAATATATAAGAGGATATCGTCTTTTAAAAGGCTAATTCAAATGGATACTTCTCTAGGTAAATCCTTAAACCTTTTTGAGCACTATGGAAACCTTCACACCTCTGAAAAATGATCAAAAATTTTAAAATAAAACACTGTAATAGGTAAACTAAATAAGTGCATACATGTGCCCTATAAAGACCCTCACCCCTCTGAAGGGTTATCAAAATTTGGAAAAAATTGATTGAATAAACTGAGTGAGTGCAGTAATCATAAATACATGTAAGAAACTGTGATATGTGGTCAAATTAACCTAAAATAGCATGCATTATCCATGAGCCCTATGAAGACCTTCACACCTCTGAAGAGTGATCGAGGTTGAGGATAGGTCAAATCTCAATGTGCAAAAAATTCACCTCAAATATACATAAAGATTAGTAGAAAAATGTCAAAAACAAAAAACAATACCAAACAGTCCATATAGACATAAGCCATAGTCCATAATTATGAGAAGAAAATTCCACAAATAATGGTCTTAATCTATACAATGCTGTAAGTACAAATGTAGATAAAATTGCTTCAAATTGGTCACCAGAGTGCAGACCACCACCAAAGTAATGAATGGAGGCTTACCAGAATGGAGACCCCGTAGCCTCCCTAGTGGTCTGATTATGTCCATATTTCTGTGCTCAAAGCGGTACATTTTTTTGCATGGAAATATGTATTTGTTTTATTGTAGGCCTGTAATTTTTAGGAATAAGTCACTGAAATCTGTCCGAACAAGGGTCTAGTAAACATCCCGGGTATGATAAAATTTGAAACACGAAATCATAAATTATAATTTATTAAATAATTGTAAAAAATAATAATATAATAATAATAAATGTAATTCATAATATAATCAAACCAAAAACACTGAAATGTGAAATATAGCACCAAGTTCGCACATCACTGAGCAAAGTCGCAAAATCGTTTTCAGTGTCTGATGATGAATTTCCCCACCAATCATTATCACTCAATTCTGTAAGTGGTTCTAATTTACTATCACTGTTCTCTAGCTGGTCTAAAACCGCTTTTGACCTAAAGGGACACTTTTTGGACGCCATGGACATTTCTCAGTTTACAGGCAGAAAGAAACAGTAAAAATGCAGGCAGGGCACAGGTCAAAGCACTCGGGACAAAATGTATGTGAAATGGTTTGATACAGTAATGTTTTACTATGTGATTTTAGTGAATTTAGTGAATGTCACTTTTAAAATTTTAAAATTTCCCGCCAGTTCCGTCCCCGTACGTCCTGACATCGCAGGGAACAGAACCCGGAAGACGGATGCCGGCATTGGCCAGAGGACATTGCCAGGGACACTGCAGGGGGGACATCACAGAAGCGCAGGACAAGTTAAGTGAAGAAGAGATCCCAGAGCAGTGCCGCATGGTAAGCCCGAGTGTAGCTCAGGGTTACCGCTTGTGGTGCTGAAACTTTACCCTGAGCTACATTCAGGAATACCGCCAGGGAGGTTAATTACAGGGGGTCCCAACCAGCTTTATAATGTAGAGCACTGGCAGGCTTCCCGTTTCACACCCCAAAGCATGGAACTTCCCGGACTCCAACTCGAATGAAAACTCAAAGTGTAGTGCCACACAAGGTCATGAAAAAAAAACATACCTCTAATAGTGTAATACGTATAAAAAAATTCTTTATTTGTGCAAATAGGATCCTTCTTACAAGCTGTAGAACAATTAAAAGCATTCACATGAACCGTATCCAAGATGGCCGACAGCGTAATAATGTCAGAGGGAGGCTCTACAAAATGAACAGACACATATAAAGAAAGGATATCAACATAGCAGTAGTACAAAATGAACCAATGGTATAAAATATATGCATACAGTTTATCTTGATACCCACATTTAAGAGCAAACATCAAACATAATCCTTCATATGTGTGTCTAAAAACATATTATTGTAGTTCGCCAAATGATACCGAAATATTCAATATATCCTTATATTATAATATGTGGAAGGTCAACAGGTTAAACAATAACACAAAAAGAAGAAAAATGCAGAGAAAAACATACAGCAAAATATATAAATTATTATTATTATTATACAGTATTTATATAGCGCCAAAGGGTATGCTCAGCGCTGTACAGTAGCAAGGGGGACAGAACAAGAGACAAGACAGTAACAATACAATACACAAGGGGTTTGAGGGCCCTGCTCTTTCGAGCTTACAATCTAGGAGGGAGGGGAAGGTGGTACAGGAGGAGATGGCTGTGGGGGATGGAGTGGTGGGAGGAGTGGAGGAGGTTAGTGCTTAGAGGTCGGGAGTTAGGGGAGGTTGGGGTAGGCTTCCCTGAAGAGGAGGGTTTTCAGGGTGCGCCTGAAGGTGAGGAGGGTAGGTGACAGTCTGATGGATTGGGGTAGGGAGTTCCAGAGGATGGGGGAAGTTCTGGAGAAGTCCTGTAATCATAAAGGAAGAGAGGGAGCCACTCAGTGTGTTAAAGTCCTAGATACCATTATTAATTATTGGGTGTTAAATTAGTATCCCAGATATTCCATACAGCGTTAAGGTGGAACTTCGCCCTAAAAGGGAAGTTCCATTTTATGTAAGACCCCCCTCCTCTTTCACTTTTGGCATGTTACCTTTTTCCGCTCGGATCGCCTACTCAAAAACTGAGATAGTTCTTCAGCTGTTATCCTCTGAAGTTGGCCACACACCCACAGATTTATTTTGTTCACACTGTGGACTGAAAGAAAAAAATCTAACAGATTCCTCCATCCACACTACACAATACAGAAAGATGAATTGCCCATGTTCAGCTGTCAGAAAACCTGAGCAGTGACTGAATCTGACTGGATGCATGTGCTGTTCGGCTGACAATTTTCCACTCAGTTCCCTCAAATTTTAATCAAAGCATGTCAGATGGAGTGGTGCTGACAGGTCAAAGCAATGATTGAAAACTGCTCAATTTGTGGGCAGCTCTAGCTGCTCCTTTCTATTTTTCATTTATTGAGATCTTTTCTTTTTTTTAATGTCTTTTAGTTGTGGGTGGATTTAAAGACAGCAGTCTCTTACTTGCTTTAGTGATTGCTCATTTTTAGGGGTCTTTGGTTTTATTTTCTGGTGATAGGATCTTTTTTTTCATTTTGTTTTGGGTGAGCTTCCTTTTTTCCACTGTATCCGACTGCATTATTAAAAGAAAAAAATTTAAAACCTGTATAAACCAAAAGTACATCAGACCATCTTGTTACATTCCTGTGACTCCCCATTCTGCATGTAGTCCTGTTAGCCCTTTCTCGTAAACTCTCCTGTCTCCAGTCAAATGACACAATTTTTTTTTTTTTAATTGATTCACTCATTAGTATTTGTTGTACAGAGCAAACGACAGTACCTCTAACCATGGTATTCTATTCTACTCAATGAATTATATGTGGGTTACGCATTGTCAGCAGTATAGCTGCAGTTTTTAATCTTGCCACAAGAGGGCTGTTGTAATGAAGATTACCAGCACTATGTGAAGCATACAGCATATACATTTTATAAAAGAAATATGTAATCCAGTGATTGCCATTGCACACATATCAGAGGGCCCAGGTACGCAGCAAGGTCTGTAGTACATATAATCCCAAAGAGAGAGTGCACACTCACAGGTCTTGGGAGGTGGGCACACAGTGAAGATTTTATTTTGATGTTTCGACGAGGCACTGAAATAACATTGAAATAAAATCTTCACTGTGTGCCCACCTCCCAAGACCTGTGAGTGCCACTCTCTCTTTTGGATTTATATATATATATATATATATATATATATATATATAAAATAAAAGTCTTGGGCAACCCCATACATAGCCAGCCATACACAGCTTGTGTACATGCTGTAAAGACTTTACTGTTGATCATTAGAATGCTGTTGAGTAGCAGTTGCCAGCATATTAACTGCATCATGGGTACCTCCACCTAGGAGTTTACATCTCTGTAAGCTTGGAGTTTAAGTGATACCCTTGGCTAAGCATATCTAAGCCCCAAAACATCAGTTTACCAATCCTTGGATGTAGGGGCTGCATTTGTTTGTTTTTTATTCTTTCTTTTAAAGGGTTTGCATCACAAGGTCCACTTCACCACCTGTCCCCTGGACCCTGTCCCTTCAAGACTGTTGCAGCCTCCTTCCTGCTCTATCCTAAACTCTCTAACCCACATCTTCAACCTCTCCCTCTCTACTGACACCATTTCATTCCCGCTCAAACATGCACTGGTTACCACCATACTCAAAAAACCCTCGGTGGACCCCACCTGTTTGAATAACTTAAGACCCATCTCCCTGCTCCCATTTGCCTCCAAGCTTCTCGAGTGCCTTGTTCACAACCCTATGAACTGCTACCTCTTCGACAACAACCTTCTTGATCTCCGACAGTCTGGCTTCCACCCAAAACATTCCACTGAAACTGCCCTACTAAAACCCACTATCGACCTACTAACTGCTAAAAGCAATGGCCATTACTCCATACTCATACTCCTTGACCTTTCCACTGCCTTTGACACAGTCGACCACCCGCTCCTCCTCAGTAAACTCCACTCCATCGGCTTCCGTGTCACATACAACTCTTTCTCTCCCTCTTTCCGTTGGGGTACCCCAAAGTTCTGTCCTTGGGCCTCTCCTTTTCTCTCTCTACACCTCCTCCCTGGGCCAATTGATAACCTCCCATGGCTTCCAATATCACCTCTATGCTGATGACACCCAGATCTAACTCTCCACTCCCCAGCTCACCCCCTCAATCTCCTCACGTATCTCAAATCTACTAAGTGACATATCAGCATGGATGTCACATCACTACCTTAAACTCAATCTTTCCAAAACCGAGCTTGTAATATTTCCTCCCCCCTGATCCCCCACTCACGACTTTACCATTAAGATCAATAGCACAACCATTGGTCCTTCCCCTCATGCCAGGGTGCTAGGTGTAATCCTAGACTCTGACCTCTCCTTTGGGCCCCACATCCAATCACTGGCTAAATCCTGCCACCTCAACTTCCGGGAACATTTCCAAAATCCGCCCCTTTCTGACCAATGACCAGGGGCGGACTGACCATTTGGAAACTCGGGCCTGGGGTCAGTAGGGGGCCCCGTGAGATGCCCCTGGTTCCTTTTTCATAGGCTTTTTTGAGTTCGGGCAAGGACACAGGGGCCCCATTATCCCCTATTGCCCAGAGGCCCCATAAGTTGTCAGTCTGCCCCTGCCAATGACACCACAAAAGAACTTATCCACAACTTGGTTTTATCCTGCCTTGATTACTGCAACTCCCTCCTCACTGGTCTACGGTTACACAGGTTATCTCCCCTTCAGTCTGTTATGAATGCTGCTGCTACACCTTACCAACTGATCTGTGACTGCTGCCCCTCTCTGCCAATCCCTTAATTGGCTTCCACTAACCCAACGTATAAAATTCTAAATAATAACCACAGCTTACAAAGCCATCCACAACACTGCCCCTAGCTACATCGCCAACCTCATCCGCAGATATCCACCAAATTGCCCAAATCGCCCACTCCACTCCTCCCAAGATATCTTCCTCTCTAGCTCCCTCATCACCTCCGACGCTCACCTCCAGGACTTCTCCAGAGCCTCTCCCATCCTCTGGAACTCCCTGCTACAGTATGTCCGGTCCACCCTGTCTGCCTTTAGGTGATCTTTGAAGACTCACTTATTCAGGGAAGCCTACCCCACCTCCACCTAAGAACTGTACTTGAATCACCTCCACCAGATCATCCTCTGCAGCTATCACCTTTTGTATCACCTCCCCCTTCCTTTAGATTGTAAGTTCCATGAGCAGGGCCCTCATGTTCCTTCTGTACTGAGATGTATTGTAATTGTACTGTCTCCCTTATATTGTAAAGCGCTGCGCAAACTGTTGGCGCTATATAAAGCCTGTATTATAATAATCACAACAAACAAACATGTTGACTGCCATCCAGGTCAGCATTCATTGTGGCCAATGGTGGCCATATTAAGAATCTGCAAACACAGATAAATAGGTAACATAAAACAGGCACATAGGTGTTACATGAAGAGATATAAAATCAGACATCATGCAGTGTCATACAATATGAAACAGTGTGATGTAACTCAATGTTTTCCAATTTTCAGCACAGAAAAAAACGTTAGCAGAGTGCACCCAAGGAACAAACCTCAGGCCTAGAAGGGGTTTGGATTGCTTCCCGAGGAAGACTGTCAGTATTAAAGTAGTTCACCTGGGAATCCATCCAGTAACACACTTCATATCTTAAAGTGGCTCCTCTATCTATGGAGGAGCAACATAGACACCTTTGTACATCAGCATTATCTGGACCAGGGGCAGACTGACAACTCATGGGCCCCCCGGGCAATAGGAGATTATGTGGCCCCCTGTGTCCCTGCCCACTCAAGCCACACCCACACAAAACCCCACCTACATATTACACTGCCCGCAATACATGCGTTTGTCACAGAATTTCTCTACAATATGTTCAAAATAAATGTT